CCAGGACGGCGGTGAGCCCTGCCAGGGGAACGCCACGGAGGAGCGCGCGTGCGACACGCAGGCACCGGCGCGGGTTGCAGATTCGCCTCCGACGCCCCGAGGAGAACTGGGCACGATCCTGCCACTGCGGAGAGGAGGAGAGTGCGAAGCTGGTCGTGCTGCGCGTTGGCCGCGTCGCGCGTGGGCTGCGCGCACAAGGCGATGCTGTGCCAAACAGGAACCCCTTCGTCTCCATGGAGTTGGATCCGTGTGTGGCTTGTCCCATCCATCTATAGTGGATCCGGCACAATATGGGCACCTTGGAATGCTCCTTTCGTTCGGTACCCCCGGAATATACTGGAACTACTGGATCACATGCGTGGTTGGCGTTTGGGAATCGAAGCTTCCTGAGTGAAGATGTGGGGAACCCTTGAGGCTTCGAAATGAAAAAAGACAGAACGATCGGCGATCAGTGATTCTGATCCTTTTCTCTAACGCAGATCCTCGCCACCAGCGAGATATCTTCTGTGTCTTAGTCATACACGCCGAACGGAAGTGGATGGCATTGCCTCTCAGAAGACTATGAAATCCTCTACAAACACAAGTTTTTGTTCTGTTTTCCACTTCCATTGAAGGCTAAATGGAGGGTGTGTGGAGAAAGGGGGTCAGCAAAAATCGCACGAAGTTAGTGCATCAAAAATACCTTCCACGAAGTTCTGCGAAGGTTTCTGGGATTTCGTTGCAGTCAGTTCTCCTACTGGCCCACCATTCCACTAACTGTCCACGAATAGCCTTGAGTTCTACGAATGTCCCGCGCCTTCCACGATGTTAGTATAGAATAGTATTCAACACCGTTTCTGTGCACTAACAATCTCCTTTTTGCCTCTGATCCATGGTCATTCAATAGTAGGTATACCATCATATTAATTCCAGGGAGAGGAAGCCTTATTAGTAGATGCCTTTTTAAAGCCAAAGAAGCTCTCGCTCACGGACCTCTCGCCACCCTCGACCGCTCGACCGCGCGGTCCGAGAGGTATCCCATCAGCGGGTCGGTGACGGCGTCGAAGAGCTGCACCGCCGTGGTCACGAAGCCAATGTGGCTCAAGGGAACGCCCAGGCGATCCACGTAGAGCGCCGGTAGAAAGAGGCTGATCATCACCTGGTGCAGTCGCAGAGCCTTTCTGCCGGCAGCCAGCGACTGTGCGGCGACTGTGGTTGGGGGGTTGAGCAGCGCGGTGGGCCAGGGACCAAAAATGAGGATGGGTATGTTGATGTATGTTGATGGGTTGATGCGAGTGGGTGGACTCGGATGGACGACAGCATGGAATCGTGACCATTTCACGGGGGTCGATGGTGTCGCCGGACCGATCTGCGGGGGAAGCCCGGGCGCACTCGGATGGATGAGAACGACTTGTGGCCCCGAGACCGGTGTCACAGAGGATGCTGGTGGGTCATAGACTTGCACAGGTCAGAAACCCAACGCTGAAGCGGACACCCCCTATAGATTTGAAAAAGGAACTGCATTGATCCGGTCACTTGTTGAACCAATGGATGTCGCCCAGTAGGGTCCGCCTCGTCCAGTCCCGTCCCATCTTTCGTCGTCGCTACCGTGGTCCTTCGCATCGTAAAGAACGTCCCTCGACGCCGCGTTCGAAGCGTCGCGTCGTCGAGGGTCAAGTCTGAAAAGATTGGTGAGACTGAGCGGACAAAACCTTGGGTGCTGAGAAAACCCAAGATCTGCTTCCAATTGAGTTCTTTTTTCATGGTGATCGATTCCTTTCTTGTTCACACGGTGGGTTTTCCTTGCTTTGTTGATATGGAACGGTCGTACCAACGGACTTGAATCCACGAATCCACGTGATGCCACAGAACTCTGCCCGCTCGCTCACCTAAGGATTTGGCGGCTCCCCAGAGCACCAATAAGAAATCATCATGCGTGACTCCCCCGGCTGATCAGGTCGCAGAAACGCTAAGCCGCTCGGAAGGGCAAAAGCCCGCGACCCGTCTCTGCCAGAATCAGCACGGCGCACGCGGATGTACAACATGAAGGCTGATCAAAATTAGCTGTCCTGCCTGGACATGGAAACTCCAAGAAGAACCAAGCTAATTAAGCTTTGGTGAGTGTAGCCATGTCTATTTTCAAGCACGACTTGCACAACAACGATCCCTGCGCTGCGATTTTGATCATCCCTCAAGAGTGTAAGAGTGATTGTGCAGACATAAAATACACAGATCGAGACATAAAATACACAGACACAACAAATCTATACAAACACAACTGGTGTGCTCTTCCTGGTGTGCCATTAAAGCCGTCCTTAAATGACGCGACCTCTCAGTGAGGCCGACACTCACGTCTCTGCCAACAACCTTCGCATCAATGACTTCGCCCACTCTTCGGCGTCTTCTTGCACCGGCTCGAGGATCTTCAACGCCGTCGCGGCGGTCGTCTTCGGGGGCGTCTGGGGCATCAAATGGCCATGTGCTTTGGCGCCGGGTGAGGTCACTGATCCATCCGGAGGAAGGCTCGCTGCGTGCATGGTGACCTGCAGCTTGGATTGACCGAAAGTCATGCCATTGAGAGCTTTGAGACTGACGGCCATCTTCTTGGAGCTCACGGGCACATGGATCTCCTCAAAGAACAATCTGAGGAGCGGATCTGAGCCCAAAAGACTTGTGGCTAGATCCAAGAAAAGAAACAGAACATCATGACATGAACCATGTGCGCCAAGGGTTTTCCCCTAACTTCTATTTTTGGTACATGAAGTTCTAAATGGAAATGATTTCTTCGCGGCAAGTACGTCATTTGACGGTCCTTTGGGGAGATCCTCTTCATCTGTTTCACCTCCAAGGTCTTGAGCAATTCTTCAATCTTCATATCCATGTGCATTGGGATCGGGCTCAATGTCACGATCCAACGTGGAAGATCTGGAGGATGAAGCACCTGAAAACCGATCGTTGGGGATGGCGGGAAAACGAACACTCCCAAGGCCCAGGCCGGGGACCCTGAGAACACCGAGCAGTAGACTCGACCCTCCACGTTGGGGCGTGGATTGATCTCCCAGTAGCCAATCTGGCACTTGTTGGACTATACCACGTGATTTCTTGTGACCGGACCCACACTTTTTGGGGGGTGAGGTTTTGGGATCAGGTTCCTGTCACTGGCAGCTTCCAGTCCGAACGGCGGAACGGCGCCACGGCTGGCGAACACGACGCCTGGAATCCATGACTGGAGGTCAGCAAAGGGTCCAGAGACAAGGTGATCCTGCGGGCCGAGGCATGCTGAGGCATAGGAGGATGGTTCCGAACATGTTCCCAATTCAATTAATTATAAAGCCATTGTAATTAAGCCATTATCAAGACCCCCTCAAATCAAAAAGCAGTCCACGTCATGAGATAGGATCATGCCATTATGCCATATTAGCCCATCTCTTGGATCCTGTCGGACACTACCTTCTTTGCCGATGCGACCCGAGCGAGCATGAGAAAAAAACCCAACTCTCAGCGTCCTGGTGTTGGTCACCGGCAACGTGAGAAAGGGCCCCACAGGTGCACAACTCGCGAAGTGGTCTCCTTTCATGGCCTGCGCTCCTGGTACCCGACCCATCTCCCTGTACGACCCTGTGCGTGGTGGTGGAGGCTGGTGACAGGCGATCTTCGCTCTCTGTTCAGGCGTTCCTCTCCTCTTGAGCCGGGGCGACCGATGAATCTCAGTGTTCTTCAAACATGCCTCACAAAAGCCGGAAGAATGCAGCTTTACCATGCTTTACCAATTACATCCAATTACAGTAGGTCAACTGAATTTTGGTGATGAGGTCAGCAATACCAGCTAAAAGAGATAACCCAATACCATGAGACTCGCGGCGATGTCCACCGATCCGAGTCATCGTCCAGTGGATCGGGACTGGAACCGGAGCAACGTGCCGGCTCGGAGCAACGTCAAAAACCCCAAAGACGGACGAATCCCTGCCCCACCCAGCGAAATCCTCCCAAACCCCAAATGAACTTGATCAACGTGTCTGCGACCAGTGGCTGTGGCCGCACCAAAGCCAAAGGCTGGGAAGCCATAGACCAGGCTCACGCACCACGACACCATGTCGGCCGACCGCGCAGCCGCTGACGGTCCAGGCTACACCCTGGACTCTGGGAGGCACAACATGATTTTTTAGGGATACAGTAGTCCCCAAACAGATAGTGATATCAAATAGTGGCACGGTTTCCAATACATTTTTAAGTGGGGATACTACCAACTATATACTATCGCTATTTGGGGGTCTATATCGTTGAAAAACCCAACACCTGAAGCACGTGTGGGATCTTGGTGAGCAATTCTTTTTACATGTGTGCGACGACCACCTGCTGCGCAAACCCACGAACAGGACATGATCATCACACGATCACCCTTCAGTTGGGGCAAGGCCTGAGAAAGAAGGCCTACCCTCAAGTCCAACGACTGTTGTACATATCCCTGTGTGGGTCATGGCACTCAAAGCTCCAAACCAGGTATGGGTTAACCTTTCATCAGGTATCGGGAAACGGTGTGGTGCCAATCACCGGACCCGCCAGCACCCGCCTCTATACAGATCACCCACTAGCTCGGTACGCGACATGTCCCAAGTGGCGGTCACCTGCGCTACTCAAAGGAGAGGCAGGCACGCCCTGGAGTGCGCCCTTCTGCCCGTGGTTCCAGTGAAAGGGCAGCTTTTCAACGACCGCGTTTCCCACTGAAACGGTTCAAAAACACGTCTCAACCGAGACCGCGTTCCGTCTCGTGGAGTCGCTCGTCCTGTCCAGACTAGCCGACTAGCTGAGGGATCTCCAAGCAGGACACGCTAGTCCGGGATGATGTGGGGCAGGATCCAAGGTGTGGTTCTTTAGGACTAAGGATTCCGATCCACGGCTCACTTCGGTACGTCCTCCAAAGCATCCTGCTCACCGTAGCTCAGGTTCGGTATGTGGTTCGGACTGTTTGAGGGCATCCAACCCATTCCAACCCCCCCGGCGTCTGCACATGGCCAGAGCTCCTGGGTCCAGCCGTCGAAATCAAAGGCCTGGGTGAGGCGGAGCACGAAACCGAGACATCGAAGATCGTTGGATCTCCAAAAGGTCCCAGGTCGACCTTTTCTCTTTGCCCCCATCAGCTTGGGCTTGGGGTTGGAATCCGGTTGGAACTGCATCTCGGACTCTTATCCTTCTTACCTCGTCCACTTACCTCGTCTACTTGTCGTTCAAATGCTGCTTAAGCTGGTTGTTCACACTTCCTTCACCTGAAAGCGGACACTCTCGGAGTGAGACGGACCTCCTCACCCCGACACTGCAGTGTCCAGCTCGACACCGAGAGATGTGAAAGACTTCCAGCGAGATCGCGATTCGAAGAAGCAGTGAGATCGCTATGGGTTCCTCTCCTCGCTTTTGATCGCGACACAGAGATCATCCCCCCTTTCGTTCGCTCAGATCCGCCTGCTTCTCCTCCCGCTCATCGCTCGTGGGCCTGGGAACTCGGCGAAGCCAAGCTGTTGGACCGAAGATGTGGCCCCGAAGGAACATCATCAGTTCCAATTGTTTCTATTAGCGACGCCAAATCCCTTTTGCAGCTCCAATCCACCAACTCCCATGCCCAACTAGCCCCCTAAAAGAGGCCCCAAATTCGAGGTTTCCACTCACTCCGCAAATGATTAGGCCTTTAGAGTCATTTGACTCCCTGATATCTTAGGTCTAGTCCACTCACTCCATGTCTGGCTTTCTCCCCGGAGAAGAATGCTTAACAGTATCAACCCTCCGTACGCGGAAGGAGCTGCACCCCGACCAGGGTTTTTCCTCCTGGCGTCCGCACTCCATCTCCGGCTCAACCTCCTCTTGGACCTCCACTTGATGGGCTTGGTCCTCCACCAGACGATGGACGGACCGAACTTCTTGAAGCTGGTGGCCAGCTATAATAAGCAAACAGTTCTAGCAGAAATGAAGCGAAGCAATGGCGTAAATATTCCCATGATGGTTTGGGCAATGTCCAATCTCATGGTCATCTTGCTGACTCCTTCCTTCAGTGTGTTTATTTTTTGGGCAGGGGGGTTGATGTGTTGAACATTTGGACCAAAAGTTTGGATGTCCCCGCATACGGTGCAAAACTCTCGTCTTCTTGGACTGGGACACACCGTGACAAACCGCTAATGTTATTAGGCATCTGTGAGGCAGCAAAACAAACATGGGGCAATAGACTCTAGACCCACGGTGCCGAACTCGCTGGCACCTTCTTGGCCATTTCCAAGAGCTCAGCCTAGGAGTCCACAAAGCTGGGGGAGCGGCACAAAGGACGGCACAGTTTCCAGCATCGGTGGGCTCCCTGCCCTCCAGACTTCTCGGTTTATGAGACCGGTGGAGACCGGGTGGATATCCGGACCTTCTCAATGAAACAAATGCCATTTGATCCGAACCTGCGGAGAAAAACCAGATCCAATCGACCCCGCAGCGGAGGGGCCTCGGTGCAGCGCCCGTCCAATCACTGGGTGTCAAACCATCTGTACAGGTGGAGCCAGTGGCGCCTGAGATCGGCTGGGGTGTGAGAAGTCGGAGACCAGCAAGCGGAGCAGTTCTGCGGGAGGATGGGGCCTGGTTGCAGGACACCCTATTGATATATGTTTGTACACGTGTCCAGCTTAACATGGTGTTAATATGTCAAGACCCAAATGATGACATTGACGACATCAAACAAGCGCGATGTCATGTGACTGCCCACTCGTCGGAGAAGGGTCCCGAACTGAGAGCGGTTCTTTGCCGGGAAGCGCCCGCACAAAAAGAACATGAAAAACCATGACAACTTGTAGAATGGATTTCTATGGATTCCGTTCAGCAGGTCTCTTGCTTCTTTGTTTCGTCTCATGCAAAGTTATCTTCAAAAATTCAACTCTTTGGGTGACACGAGGCCCTGGTTCTTCAAAGTCTCCAAGTTGAAGGTTCACTTAAGCCTCACTGGGTCACTATAGGAAGTCTGAAAAAGGTCACATTGAAGAAGCTATCCACCAGCAGTTGCCTCTTTGCATGAAGCAATTCTCTTCTACCCACCGGTGCTCCCAAGCGGAAGCCCGACCACCTCGGCCGCGTTCTCCACCGGGTCCGGCCTCCGGGATCTTCGACCCAAAAGCGTTCGGCTCCTCCGGTTGGTTGAAGCCCTGCCTGTGGCGCATGAAACGGAAGGGCACCGGGTTCCGAGCCGCTCGTTCGGTGTGGTGGGGAAGCCGACCGAACCCGACAGGGGCGAAGTGTATGCGTGGGGCGCCGCTCCTTGTTGTGAGCATGAGTGGAATGATTTCAGATCGAAAGCCATGCATGCACCCCTTTCTAGTCGTCTTTAAGCTACACTCATCCAAATGGAGTGAACTTGCTGGTCCGTGACAGCTAAAGAGATAGGGCTCCCAGTTGGACAACTCTTTTGCGATGCCATCTCCCAAAACAGCAACCCATACTGACGTGGAGTCGTGGCTGCATCAGTTCATTTCAATGCAGACTTGAGTGCTTTGAAAAAAGCTGACTTCAACCCTTAGCCCCGTGCCATCTCAGCCAACAGCAAGACCGCTCCCAACCCCAAAAGCCCTCCCACCAGTCCCCTCCCGTCAAAAAACAACAAAAAACACTTCTCAGACCGATCTGACTTCGTCTCTTCCCATCCCTCTCAAAAACACCCTCGTCTCCACCGGCCCACCGCTCTTCAGCTGACCGCTCTTCAGCCGAGGCACATCTGTAACCGACTGATGAGCCAATGGATCCGCTTCGCCGCGCGCTCCGGATCCCAGGAGCCCTGGAGAAGCACAACGGCGGGTCGTTAGGGGCGTGGGGGGAAGAACTGATTTATCACGTTTTGAGGAGTCCAGGCGAAAAAGCAGTGCTTTTAGGTGAATCTTGTTTTAATCCACTGTGTGCCTTCCTTTTCCTCTGTCTGGCTTGCCGCCAAGCGAAGGATGTCAAAACAACCCTCCTGAAGCCATGATTTACGTATACTGTACGCTTGCACAGTGTCTGTAAATGAACTGTATCGCTTCAGGTGTCTTCAGGTGCACTGCATGTAAACATGTAGCATTCTCAGCGTTGGATGATGGCCTTAGTGGCAAAGTCCCTGTGTGGTCAATGCATTGACGTCAAGCAATGCAGCGGTTGTGAAGGTGATTTTCCAGAAACTCTCTGATCGCGGCTGGTTCGCTACACGTGTGGGTATATTGAATGGGATACGACAGCGGCCAAACAATTCTTCAGGGCGCAAGGAGGGAAAGAAGACTTGGTTCGACTTTAAGGAGAGTTGGCTTGCGCACATGTTTGCAAAATCTCCTCAATGTACATTATATGTGATGGGTGTTGGGCACTGAGGAGCCCTCGATCCTTCAAGTGGGGGTGGACCACCAACAAACTAGCACAGCCCAGTGGAATGGTGGACATCCTCCCTACGAAACTTCAACTCTGGCAGAAGACTCATCATCCCTAGGGATCCGTACCGAACCTCAGGTACGGTGATGTGTTCGACACTGGTTTATGTCGTTTTTGCCGGGTCCAGTCGTACCGAACCCGAGAAGATACGACCGGATCCCTAGGGCAACTTTCAGAAAGCCGAACCGTCACTAGCCCCAAATTTGGCAGTTTCCATACTTGCTTGTGAAAGATCCGAATCCCTGCACGTCATTTCAACAACTCTGGATCTCAACATGCTGTACATAGCACAGCTCCTCAAAGGTAGGACCATCTTTCACCGCAGCTGTGGACCTTGGGCTGTTACGTAGCACAGCGGGACCCCACCTCTATGTGCTGCTGCCATCGCTGTCTGACCTCCTCGTCGCCCAAGGAAGGGACCGCCTGGCATCCAAACTGGGAAGCTCATCAGCAACCATTCAAACATCCGCAAGGTCTCATCATATTTGGCCGGTTACGAGGACCATTGATATTCCAAGCAGGAAATGGAAAGAACGCAGCCCAGCTGAAGGGTCACGGCTGGAAGAACCGCCGAAACGACGATCCGATCCGGGAAGTTCGGCGCGGCCAGGACCTAAGCTTCAGGTGGTGGACACCCCTGATACTGAAGCTTTTTGAGAGGGCGCCTCTTTGTTGAAAAGAGATGCACCTGAATTTTGTTGCTGTTCTTTCCCGGCCCTTTCAACTCGGTCTCAGCTGTACCCACGACCCACGGAACTTCCGGACCCACAGAGTTGCGAAACCCACCTCCAGCGATGCCAAGGCTGCTCTCCTGCGAGGTGAAGCAGCGGGGCGAAGCAGGGCTGGTGAAAAGAACATATGGTCTTATTCCTGGGGCCGTTTCTAGCGTCCTCATGCTCCGTTTGGGCCCAAGGTGTGAGATGGCCGTGAGCACCGGGGCGAACTAACATCCTTCGATGCGGGGAACTCGGTCTCAGTGCCTTCAGTGTCGCTCTGAGGGACCCAAAGCCGTGACTTGAAAGTTGGCTGACTGGGCACGGTGCATGTGGGGATGGTGTTCCATCCACTCATCGGTGGGGCTGGGCCATGTTGGGGAACTTGGGCATATGATCTGTCTCTCTCCGGTGCTTGCATCACATGTGCAAGTTGCGGCGGAGAGTTCCGAAGTGCACCCCGTGCCGCCAGCATCGGCAGCCGCCAACTCATCAATCTAACAAGTGCAAGGGGGTTGGTCACTAAAAGCGCTCTGTCAGCTGACCTATGCTGATCTCACCAAAGAGGTTTGCTCCACCAATCTGCCAGAGATCCGCTCAGCTTTTTGCGAGAAATTCGCGGGAGGGTAACAGCGCGATCCGCTTTCGGAATGGCAGCCTCTCCAGGTGCCAGTCGATCTCCGGGTCAAGTTCAGCCATGGACTGAAGAAAGCAGAATGATGGTTTGGTATTTAGCTAATTAGCTAAAAAGCGATATGTCAAATTCAGCTTTGCTGGGTCTATAAGTATACTTGGACCTTCCAAGGATTCCTGGGGTGTCCAAACACAAATCAGCTCCAGAAAAAGGTTTTGGTGAAAAAGCAGACCCAGTTCCAGGAAGCTGCTGAGCAAATCTTCTTCAGTTGCCAATCAGAAACCCCCCCATTGGAGCTTTTGGAGCCTTGAAGACTGGAGCTTTTGGCCTGACACACGACGGGTCTGGCCAGCTAATTAGTCCATGAGGGGTGTAGCTGTTGAGGGGTGTAGCTATAAGCTGTCGAATCGCCACAGTTGACGCGGTTGACTGCTAATCTCCGAGTTCACCTGTTCAACCGTTGAGGCCCCTTGTCCTTTCTGCACAGCTTGTGCCAGGCTTCACTATCTACTACGTCACTCCATGACGGCCCGACCGCGGGGCGGAAATCCACAGTGCGCACGGGGACCTCAAGAAAACACGGTTCTTCCCCGTGGAAAATCTCGGCTCGCTGACGATGGGCTTCCCGAGCTGGGCCGGACGAGGTCACTAGGCCCACTAGGCCCAGTCCGCGTCCACCGCCCAGCGCGTGGTCTCATCACTGCTCAAGCGGCTGGGGAACCAGTCTGGAGTCCTCGCTCGGCCAAACTCTTAAGAGAAGTCCAGCGGACGGGAATCCCGACAAGAATGAGATACCCTCTAAACTAATTAATCAAATTATATAGTAACAAGAAGCTACTAGGGGCTCCTGGCCTTACTACAAGGAGCAAGAAGCTACTAGGTTCCTAGGAGCAAAGGGCATCGCTACTAGGAACAAGTCGCTACTGGGGCATGTGCTGGCCTGGCAGTTGCATATCGATCGGCCGGGCGAAACACTCGACCAACCCATACGAAACGATGAGTGACAGAATCTCACGATCGATGCACTCAACTCGAGAAGTGGCCACCAGTCATGTCTCTCCCGAACCAGAATCCACAAACATCAGAGAGCCTGACTGGTGGTCATGATCATCACCAGACATCACAATCCAGGAGTCACAAAGGGGTGCCGAACTTGGAGGAAGTCGGGGTGCCCATTATTCACTCACTTAGGGACTAAGCACCACCTCTTTGTGACTTCTGGATTAGCTATAAACATCTTGGGGCCATGACCCACCAAACATCACCAAGATCCCTTCACCAAGATCAATCAATTCAGTTCTCAGGTTGTCCCAAGACATCCAAACACACAACGGAGAGTTGCTTTCAGGCGGCCGATCGAATTCGTCAAAAAAAACACACTAACAGAATTCCTATAACAAAAAACACATTCATCTGCTTTTTGGGGGAAAATTTCGGCGAATTCTCCCGGAACCGGGATCATCTCCGCAGAACCTGTTCCTCCACACGCTCCACATCCATCTGTTCCCCGCTGAAACCATCGCCCGGCCACTCCCGAGGATCACGGCCCTCGCTGGGCCAGCCGATGCAAATGCCTCGGCATCCGGTGAGGCGGCTTTTGGAAGTAAAACTATGCGGTAAATCATCGGATGGTGACAGGGTTTTGTGGGAATTGGGGTTCTTGGATGGGAGATTGGGCTAGATTGGCTGTCATATAATTCGGCGGCTTGGGGCAACTGGAGGTTGATTAACTGGTTGATTACCACTGGTTTGGTAGGATGAATTTTGTTCGAGTGCTCCTCCGACATCGAGGCCATGCCATGCATAGTATGCATGCTGCATGATCATTCCAGGGAGTGTTCAGTGTTCACTCCAGAACTGGCGAACGAAGGCAAGACTGGCATGACTCATGACCGAGGCGAACTCCATTGAGTCAAGACAGCCAACGGTGTGGTCAGTGTGGCCATTCTGAACATTGAAAAAAACGGGATTTCAAGGGGACTTTCAAGGGCATGTCCTTTTTGGCATTAATTTTGGGATACACAAAGCCAATGGGTCCAGAACATTCCAGAACATGTGTGCAGGGTAGCTATGGGTACCTTCTTGCATGAGCTCGCGAAACATAGGAAAAGGAAGCAGTCACTAGCACTTGGTCCGGTTGTGCTGACCCCCTTGAGGAGAACGTGAGCTAGCAGCTAGCATCACACCTCATGGCACGGAGGGTTCATCAATAAATACGTCTTGTACAGTCTTGGATGAGCACGGCTACCAAAACAGATGGAGACCGGACGAGTGAACTCCTCTACCGGTGACCACCGTTCCCACCTCCCTTCAGTCCGGGTGGCCGCAAACCAAATGTTCGTCCTGAAGACAGGAAGACACTTCATCCAGCTCCAGTGGTGAACAGAGCCAAGTGGGACCATTTGTTTGTTTGGGCTTTTGGATGCTTTTGGATGGTCTGAAGCTTTTGGATCCTTTTTGGGGATGGTTCTTAGTTTTCAGGTTTCGGATGCGTTGGTAAACCTGGGGCAAAGAGTACAAATTGCATTCCCAAATGTGATGCAGTGATGAACGATGATCCTCTGGATCTTTTGTGCACTTCACTTGACGTACAAATCAAGTGGTTTTATTTGGCTGTGACCCTCTGTCTTCCCGCTGGTCATACACCTTTCAATGCCCCAAAGAATCCTGCACACACACACCATAGGCTAAACGTGCTGTAGGGACAGGACCGTGCAATTACATGAAATGACCAACAACATGTGTGTCAAGGATCCCCAAATCATGAAGAGTTTCCCTAAGTCTTAGCCTGATTTGGATGAGACGTGATGCCATGAACCTCAATGAATGGAGTTTGAACTGAGCTGCAGCTCACTGTGGTGCCACCTATCTCTGCTTTCTTCCCATTTCCCGTCCTCCGGCATGGCTTCGGGGCCCAAGACCTCGCGGCAAAGCTCCGTGAACTTGGCCACGGAGCCCAAGGGCTTTCCACCCAGCCCGTACGCGTGCATGGCCACCAGGATGGCGTACCTCACAAAAAAAAGCGTGGGCTTGGAGGACGGATTGAGGAGGAGGACAGGTTTAATAAACGGAAAAGAACACAAGGAACGGGAAAGGACTGCAGCGCTGAAGTTGAAACCCGGTGAGGCGGCTTTTGGGAGTACAACTATGCGGTAATTCATCGGATGATGACAGGGGTTCGTTTGAATTTCTGGGATTGGAGATTGGCTACTAGATTTGGCTGTCATTTTGGCAGCTTGGGGCAACTGGAGGTTGATATGGTTGATTAATGTTGATTACACTCCCTGAAACAATTATGGAAGCGGAGTTCACCACCGGTTTGGCATTCCGAAAGCGGTCATCCATCCGCGGCCATGCCATCCAGTTTCAGAGAGTGTGCACTCTGACTCACTGACCTTCAAGTGGAAGGCTAGTCTCCTCCTTCCCCCGGGTTCTTTTCCACTTCCATGTGATGTGTTCGTCAGGAGTGTAGTTCGTTTGTACCTTGAATGAATTGAAGTCAAGCTGGACCATCTAATTACTAAGTCGAGCAAGTGGATTCGACTACTCCACTGGATTGGATGGCAAGTACATGCACGACCGTGTCTTCCTGTGGGTCGCAAGACCGTATAAGTAAGACACCAAGCTTGAAGAATGAGATCCCTCCAAACAGGCTGGACAACTCCATCGCCTAAGTCAAACAATGCCGTGAACTCGCCACCAACATCGGCTTTGGGGGACGTAGAAACAAAGCCCAAGAGACCAAGAGACTCTTGATTACAAACCCCCCATGTAAAGAGGTGTTCCAATTCAAATGGGGGGGGGGTATTCATCAAGAGTCTACATCACACTTCCGTCCATCACTTCCAGCGACACATCGAACACGCCCAGCTGCATGTAGGAGCCGACGTCGATGAAGGTGCCAGCGGAGGAAGTTTTCGGAGCGTTCAAAAGCAATAGAACCGGAGCACCCCAAAACCTCAATGGAACATGACACACTTGGAGATGGAGCTCAACAGAAGCGCAGAACAGTGGAGATTCATTTTACAGCATAAGAAGACCTGTCAAGAAAACCTGAGAATAGGGTTTGACACACAAAGAGAGAGAGAGAGAGAGAGACACATAATTAGCCCATCATAGCCTCATAAATTCTACCTTGTAGCTGAATGGTTGCAAAGGTCGGTTGCTTCACTCCACTCTTGTCATTCACCTCAAAATCTCTTATGTGTGCCTCAAGACCTTGCCTTTCGAATGGGTCGGCCCCGGTTGTGCAGGTTTGTAGGGTTGGCTGCGTTGTTTTTGCTTTGTTGGGTTGGGTGTGTTCCCACTCCAATCCTCCTCATGCACCACTCTGAAACGGCTACCAAACCCATACGAACCCCGTCTCGCGTCGTGTCGCGTGTCTGCTTGACATCTGCCGCCAGGGCGCTGGTAGTTGGGTCGGTACTTGGCGCGGCGTCCCTCGGCATCGTCGCGCTGCAAGCCGTGGCGTTGCTCGTAGAGCTCGAAGCCATACATGTCCTTGCCTGCGGCGCGCGAAACAACGGCGCAAGGCTTTCCGCAGCAGCGGCGCGGGGTGAAGTGCCGGATTTGGGGGACGAGTCTCTGTTGTTTTTTGTTGCGGATGGACGGGGAGGAAGACTTGGGAATGGAGGGTGGCGGAGGGTGAGGATGGAAGCTGAGGTGAGAGTCTTGGTGTATGCTTCAAGATTGCATGATTCAGTCAAGCTCTTAGCAGCTATCTATTCATATCTATTCTATGTCATCGGGACTTTCCTTCCAAACCGAGTCGCTCGTGTCGCGGGCGGCGCGACCGTCGCGGGTCACGGCCCGCCTTTCTGCATCCGCTCGGTGTTTTGGGTGCTGTACCTCGGCGGGGCCGGGGGAGGCGAACGGAGCACCGGAACGCGCCGGAACGCGCGGTGACGAACTTGGTTCGAAGTGACGTTTGGTGCAGCAAAATAGAAAGCCAAGCTGTTTGCAGTAGGCCATGCAGTAGAATATGCATTGGCCCCATAAGTATAGCCTAGAAAATTGGTGGTCTTCCTGCTCGATGCGGTCGAGCAAGTTGGACTGAATCTTGTGGTCACAACTGGCGCGTTTTTTTACTCACCGGTGCCAGTCATGGCGAATCCAGCTCACTTGAAGTCCCTTTCTTCCGACTTTTTGTACCTCCGACTTCCTACCTGAAGCCTAGAAGCCTCTAAACTCGAGATCAAACACATCCCCAAACACTCTGCCTACATGTCGGGGGGGTCAGGGGTCAATGTAGACATCTATGCCAGTCCCATGGAGTGTCTGGAATCTAGAATCTAGATCCCAGCCAATGATGGTATTTGCAAGCCATTCAAGCCACCACCTGGACCCTCCAACTGGTGGTTCCTGGTGACAACAGCTGCCCAGAAACCATCTGTTAGGGTGTTAAGGCTCCCTTTTTACTACATAGCTGGTATAAATGTCTGCACTGGCCCAGTGATGAGGGCAAAGCCAGAAGCTGTTGCTCCAAAAGGCTTTTTGTAGGTCTGAGCTCCGTTGTTGCCTGCGTCGAAGTAGGCCAACATGGCCTCAGACAGCCTTGGCAAGGCGGAGCAGCTAGCCGTATAGGTAGCCATGCAGGTGAGGCAGTTTGCAGTTGTTCTTTCTTGAAAAATGCCAAGATATGCAAAGGTTCTTAGACAATTCCAAAAACCATTTGCCAGTTCCATTGTTGGGTGGTAAGTTAGGGATGCATATACCTTTGAGATCCTTTGAGGGTGTGCTTGGAGGGTCCAAGCATATATGAATGTTGAGATCCGACGCATGCCGGTGAGTGCAACTCTGGAACCCATTCACAAGTGGAATCATTGTTAAGTGGAAGATTGTGTTTGCAACTAAACAACCAAAAGCAGAATCCGACAACAACAACTTCCACAGCAGGTGGAATGTGGTGAATGCCATCAATCAGTGTGATTGATCATCAATCACAACTTCTGCCCTGAAGGATTTCCAAAGGTGTGACTTCTAGGCTGCCCATCCTTGAGTGAAACATATAGGCCTACAGGGCCTACAGTACACTGACACCCTTAAAAACAGAAAAACACAAACATGAAATCAAACATCAACAAACAAATCCTTTTGAAACACCCTGGTCTTTCAACATGGTCTTCGAAGAGAACAAAACACACAGAAAAAAAAAAAAACAATAAACACCTCTTCTTCTCAGAGCCCCCCGTCCGTCCCCCGGCCCACGCTTGGTCCCGTCCATCCGACTCACTCGAGAAGCCGATCTCGGGCAGCGCCCTGGATCACCGTCACGGACCAAGGTTGTGCCTGGTCAGGTCGGCCCGACCGGTCAAAGCCACCACCCGGCACGACCAGAAAAACGTCAGTCACTGACTGGAGGCGTTTTTGGGGGAACGGGTTGGGTGAGGTGGTCCATCTAGGTGTCCAAGCTCATGGAACAGTTGGGGCAACATGGGGCAACCAAACCCTAATAGGCCCTAAACACCAGTCCCACCGCCGAAACGCAAAGTGCACCTGCCGTCCATTCCGAAAAACGGACATGCATTCTGTGTTCCAGACTCCCAAGCTGTCCAAACCACTCCAAAAAAACATTCTCAATCCACCTGGAGATTCGCTCTCCGAGAAACATCAAACGTGAACAGTCTTGAGACCGCTTCAAAAAGCGGACGGAGAACAGTCTTGCCTATACAACAGAACAATTTGTCTATTATAATAATAATTACAATTATTATTAAAAGCCATTGACAAAAACAAAAGCACCAAAAGAAACGCCGACCTCCTCCCGACCCATGCAGCCAGGCCGCACCGCCGATCGAGAACACGTTCCTCGCGGCCGAGAGCACATCGCGAAGCAGCTCCTGCCGTGCCCCGGAGCGCGGTTCGGGGGTCGCACGTGGTGTGGACGGAGAGGGTCGCACGACCCTCAACCGTGAGCTGTTTTGGGAGATCCGTCTTTGGTCGGAAAGGAACATGAACATTGCACATCCATACTATGCATACTACGTATACTGCAACAGATGAGTTGCATTTGGTGAATAAGTGGTGCTTTAAGCTTGTGATAATAGGCAGGCAAGCCGAAGATGCACATCTTGCATGGGATTCTGCCTCCAAAGGCAACTGCCAAGTCCTCAATAACTCATGCGAATATGGTTTGCCTGTACGAGAGTCTCTGTCTTTGGACACCTGCAGTCTCAGTTCAACCTTCAAGTACCACGCTTGGGATCCAATGGCACCCCGGACAGTACAGCCGCCTGATGCCGCCTGCTTGAAGGGGGGGGGTACAAACCTGGCTTAGAAATTCTTTGAAGTAGGAATCCGAACAACCTCAACCACCACCTCAACCTAGAAGATTCTCAAGCAAAACAAACTACCAAAACTGTGACTCATCTCTTTGACACCCTTTGTATAAAGCCCTCCTCCCGTCACACCGTCCCCACACCCCGTCCCGGGCCCGTCCTTGGGCACCGCTCGGCCCGTCTCGAGGGTGTGCGAGCAATGCCGCGACTGCACCAGGTGCATCAATCCGTGGGACGAAGCTTCGACCTCCACAGCGAGCGAGCGAAGGCGAAGGCGTTCAGCAGCGACGGAGGTGAAGACCTTCAAATGGGCGCTGGGTGGGAGCCTTCTTGGGGGTCTTCTTTTGGGAGAGCCCCAAATTAAGCTAAATATATTAAAAGATCAGGGTGGGAAGACAAGGCATTCGCCAATTTGCTCGGAAAAGGCTTGGAATCACAAGCATCACGAGCATATAAACTCCTGCTTTGAAGGTAGTTCATGGGAAATCACGGGGGACAAAAATGCTCCGTCGAAGATCTTGTTGTGTCTTGCAACCAAAAGGCCTCCACCTTGGACTCCGCAAGCCAAGCAGCATCGCAGTTGAGCCAACCTGGGTCGAGGCCACCCGGAAGACACATAGGGTTGGCTCCCTCTATGTGCCAACATCTTTAACATGAACATGTGGAGCATGGCAAATGGAAAGGCCTGGCTGGTGGGAGGAAAAACCATTCATACTATGTGGATAGGCTAGAACCATGGTTCTCACTACCACTTTCGCAGCTTCCGAAGCACGACACCTGCGGCATCAAAGCCTTCCAAGGAAAATGTGGGATCTGGTTCGACTGAGTCAGGTCACCAGCATGCAGCGTTCCTTTCAAATCCCCCTGGTGACCCATGCAGCGGACCTAGTGGGTTCGACAAGCTCTCCTGGTGGCTGGTGATCGCTCGGTCATCGTCCCTCCCCAATTGGAGAGGAGCTGCAACGCCATAATGCCTAAATCAACAGGCTGGCCTCATGACACATATTATGTTGTTTTTACTTCTTCTTCAGTTCACCAGTTCAATCTCCATGTTTCGCAGTCTTTGGACTGCCGCCTTCGAAACTTCTTTTCGGAAACACCCTCCCACCAAGCTTCATCTTAGTTGAGATTGTTTACTCCGAACTAACATGGAAGTGGAAAAACCTGATTTTGGTGTTTAAAGAGTGTTCTCAGCCAGCTCCCCCTCCAGAGTCAACGACACCATTCTACCGAGTCTCGTGTGGTCTCATCCACCGTGAGCCGCGTGGGCAGGAACTCGGGCGACGTCTGCACCGCGCGACTGCCGATGGGAAAGCCCAAGCTGAGGCCTGCGACCACGAAGTGGTCCTGACGGGTGGAAGGTTCGCACGGGTTCGACCCCCAACATATGCTCGTCCAACGTCCTATATCAAAACGGAGGTGATGTTTCCCATTCAATCAGAGGAAAGAACAGGGAGTGATACACTGACCTTGGCAGCTATGCGCAGCTAGCTCGTGCCTGAATGTGTGAGGCTCACCCTTAATGTATGTGTAGATGGTTGGGGGTGGGTTTGGCGTGTCTCACCACCTGAAGATCTGCTTGGAGCCCTCCTTAGGGATGACAAAAACCCACCGGCCTCTGGCAGGTCACTGCCCAAGACCTCCCGGTAGACCGAGCCGAACCGTGCCAACTGCCAGTGGCAATGCACGGCTAAGCCCCGGTCGTGCGCGCCTGGGCGGACGGTAGACCGGCGGCTTGACGCCCATGCTGTCCAAATATATCACATGTAGCTGGTAACCATGCAGTGGTTCCCAAAGAATAGTAATAACACACACTGGTTCCGTTGAAATATGAAGTTGCCGCAATGTTTTACTTTTTTTGGGGGGGGGGGGGGGGGGGGGGATATAATGGCTGTATCACGAAGGGCATCGGTAAACGGATGCAACTCCACGGCCTCACACCAGCAAAAGGAACCGGATGAACAGCATGTACGGCCGGCTCAGGGCATCAAATGGGAGAACATGCCCATACCCCCAGCAGCAAAAAAACCTGTTTGAGCTGGCAAGATGCCTGGGATCAAAATAGTTCCTGGCAAAAGCTTCATACGTCATGTGTCAATCCGCACGGCCCCGAAAGCTGTAGTACCACAATTTCTACACAATCCCAATCCCACACTTTGGGAGTCTTCCGCGAAAGCTGCCAGTGACTGACCCAGCAAGCACCTTCCCAGGGTTCAAGGCCGTTTGCTCCAAACCTCCCAACACCGACACTCCGAGGTCTTCAGGTGGGTCACAGACCCCCCCTTTTTTCTCTCACCCCATCGTACAACTTCTCAACTCTCCGGGGCCTGATTCGTCTGGAAACCACGGGCCCGTGCCCCCAAACACTTCGATTCGCGGCCGTTTTTGGTTTCTTTGCTTCGCGTCTCAGTGGCACATGGAGAGGGCGGTGATGGCCGAGCCCATATCCAGGAAGACTCCATCCACCGGCGGGTCCTCCTTCAAACATGGCCCGCTGGGCGCGCAGACCGCCAGGTGCAAGGGGGCGGACCAAAACCTGGCGTGCTGCGGTGCCGTGCCCTCTATAGGCGGATATATTTGCGGGGTTCTGTTCAGAGGTGTGAGGCTTGAATGGTGGACCAAGCAAATAAGCATAGGATGATATGATATAGGATGATGGAAATCACACCTCAGACTCAACAAGGAGCACCTCAGCAAGGTGTTCTGTTCTGTTAGGACCATGTGGCCACAGGCCGCTGACATGGAGGACCACTGTTTTCATGTTCACTTTGATCGATTTTCATGCGGCCCGGTGTCGACATGCATCGACGTGCATTGCATGAACATCATTGAGACACATCGATTACAAAAAAAATAACGAAACACGTCATGATACAAATGTCATCTATGAAAAATGGTGGAAACAAAAACACACATGTCCGAAAGGCATGCGGGATGGTCCCTGGACCGGCGATGCGCACAAGGACTGGTCACTGGACTGGTCATTGGGTTCGTCTTCGAGATGATGGAAGCATTCAACACACCCGTCCGATGCATTGTCCAAGTGCACAAAATGGATGAATGGACGACGCTCTTGAAGCCTTTTGAAGGCCCAAGCTCTCGAAAAAGGACACCAAAAGCCCTCTTCATGGCCCAACAACTCCAAAAAGCCCTCTTGTTGAAACGATCACGCTAGCGAATTCTCATCTTCTGACATCTCTTCCACACCGTGAAGAGAGAACTGAGGTCCGCGCTCGAAGTTGCTTCGGAACTTGGACCTCTGGTCCGCACCTGAGGTAGCAAGGAACGGCGATGGAATGCGTTGCAGTCGACGCACTCCGTGAGGAACGACACAAACGAATGGGATCCCAAAGGGGGCCATGAGCAACCATTTTCTTTAAGTAGTTTTTTGTAATATACCGGTTATACAGTGTTCTCATTGTTGAATGCAATCTCGACCTGCCTTTCAGAGTCCATTGTTTTAGACTTATTGTTCTCTTCAAGAATGTTGCATGGACACCTGATCCAAATGCTTCCCTCGCTTCATTATCATGACCTGTCACGCAAGTAGGGATGGGCTTGTCGCTCAAAAAAGCCTTCAAAGGATGGAAACAAGGTCCAACGGGGTCACTCGACGTGAGGTTTCATGCGAATTTGGACATCCCGGCAAGAAGCCCTTTATCGAAATGGCCCTGGCCCGAGCCTTATATATATACGTCGATGGATGGGGCCTGTCTTCATCCTTTATTCCACCTAGAAGTGACCCGTCGTGGCCCAGAAATGGCCTCTCGGAGCCAACCAAGAGGCCCCACAAAGCACGGTCTTTTTAGTCTCCACCAGCTGAGCTGCTGATTCCCAAATGCTCGAAGTATTCCTTCTCAAAGAGCTCCACCGCCTTCGACATCCGTGGGATCATGGTCTTGGGCAGCTGCTCATACCTCGGATGGTCGATCGTGGGGGGCTCGGCTAGAAACGCTGAGCGGGGTCCGTTCCTTCGATGTGGATCACCGTGAGCTCTTTGAGTCAATCCGAAATGACTGTATACAATCCAAATGGGGGAGTATTCATTAAGAGTCTACAGTATACCAAAGGATGCCTCAAGGCTTCTTATAATGCCCACCTTCCCTTAAACCATCATCCTGCCGATAGTTCTCCTTGACCACCACCCCGAGATACATGAAAAAAACACAAAACACATGAAAAAGCAAAGCAACAACAACAACGACAACAACAGCAGCAGCAACAACAACATTCCTGATACTTTCTTTCAGCCTGTGGACGCTTCTCCAACAACGAGAGCAACGACACAAAGATTGCAACAACCTCGATCTTTAGCTTCTGTGGGTTGGCCATAGGACCTGATTCCTCAGTTAGCTCCGGTCAATGACGGTTTGTCCTTCAGTTCTGACCAGGTTTGATGTCGCCATGTCCAGCCCTCCAAGTTGCTCGGCTGCTCCCATCTCACCTGCATCCTGAGCCAATTCAACGAATGCTGGCGAGTACGCCAGCATACGTCGATGCCGGGTCTTTACAAAAAAGACCTGCAGCTTCATAACAAAACGGCCCACCCAAACAGAACAGTTGCCAAACCCGAAGCTTTCGAACCTCAAAGAGCCTCACAATGTTCGTGAGGCAACGGTGGCTCCTACGTGGCTACTTAGCGATGAGCGACACCAAGTGGCAAAACGGGTCTGGCCGCAACCCACGGTGTTTCGTGGGTCGTGAGCCAGCAAACGTGATTAGTCTAGAATTAGAAAACCATCCACAGCTACCAAAGTGTGTCTCCAGCCAAGACCCCAGCTTCAATCAGCCTCACGAGATGTCAAAGAACCACCGAAGAACCCAGGACTCCGGCCTTTTTCATCCTTTTCCTACATCGCAGTCTTACACCGGTACACTGTTTTGGATGACGGCGTCCAACAGCCGGATCGAAGCAAAGTCGCCCTCAAAATCGAAAACACATCTCCAAGCGTCGAACTGTTCCAAGAGTTTCTTTGCCAGCTGGTTGCGCTTCTCCCCTGGCACGTACACTGCACTTGAGGCCCGCCACGCCAAACTGCAGTAGCAGCAGTAGCAGGAAGAGGAACCCCGTCTTTCGCAAGTCCACACAACTGCGATTCAACTAACATCTATTTCGGTCTCTCTGGACCTGAAAACCCCAACACTTGATAGTTTACTGACTGAACTGTTTCTGATGTCTCATTATCTGGGCAAAAGAAGCCTGAAAAAATAACTAACTTTTCCCTGGTGCCAAAGCACCCTCCAAAAGTCTCATATGATGTCGGATTGACTAGGTCATTGAGACAAGACATGGAGCCCTTTTGACAGCTCATATCCCGCTGGAGTGACTCTGCACATTTCGTTGGCTTTTTCGCTTGCACAGGGCTATCACTATCACATACTATCACCAAAGCTTCCTGAACCACTAGGCCATCGGAGCTCCAAAACACGCTTCTCCTATTGATTCCATTCCCCACCAATTCCAAAACCCAAACCACTCCAATGTTTTGTGCATGGCTATTGAGCAAAAAGCTTCAACCACCAACAAATCACCTTCATGAGTGCCCAAGTCAGCTTTTTCTTCCACTCCGTCATTCTGTGCAAACAATCGTAATGCTCTCCTTCGACATCTCCCAAACTACTCCAACCTCCACTCCTGTGCGCCTTCCTCACCGAACACACTGAACACAGAACCTCCGACCCATCCGGCTCCGACGCAAAACCTCTCCCAAACGCCGCAGCATCAGCTCCGACCGGTCCGCCTTGGACCACGACGATGGTCCAGGGCTGCGTGTTGGCCGAGGACGGCACGCTGCGAAGAGCCTCCACCACCTCCTGGATCACCTGAGATGCGACCAGAGAGAGCGGGGGTCTTCAGACAGGGGTGGGTGGGTCATGTTTTCCAGTGGCATGATAACTATTAATTATAATCCCTAGGGATCCATGTTGTCTCTCAGCATGTGTCTCGGAAAGACCACTCTCAGCGTGTGATTGGTCCAAAACCTTCTGAGCGCGGACTCAGTAAGGATTGGGTTCCCAAGTCCGTGCTGAGGCAACCCTGGGACCCCTCACCTAGGTATCACCACTGAAATTGTTTGGACAACCAAGAAATGGTGGTGTTGCATGTCGCTCAGGTCTTGGTGGCTCTGGGACACCAATAGGACATGTACGACGCACAACAAATTTTGATGCAACAGTTTATATATACATCATCATGCCATGTCCCAGCATCAGATCTATTGAATATATTATATCCTTTGCTTGTTTGCTGCTCGATGGGCCTCTTGCGGCTCCATGCTTTGAAAGGTTCGCCAACCCCACTGTTTCTGAAGCTGTGCATGTGTGGCTTGCTCTTATCATGTTTCAAAAACTTGCAAGCTCAAGGGTTCATTTGATCTAGAATGCCTTGGTTGCAAGTGCTTGAGGGTAGAATCCAGGACAAATCAACCCAAGTCTGTCGATGCTGCTTTTCTTTCCATGGCCAAGTTTGGCCCGAGCGTTGAGTTGAGTGGTGACACGAACCTGGGCTGGCGCCATGAAGCGTGGTGCTTCCCTCATAGAGGAGGAAATGGTGGGGGAAAACCGTGGTTTCAAAGCCAATGCGCTTCAAGGTTGGTGCAGCTTGTCTTCATAAATTTGGATGTACTGCTGTACCTGTACAACATTACAAGGAGTGTGTGATTCAGTGAGAGATCAGTGCCCTAAATTTTGAACACTAAGGTCATTGGCCAAAAGATCCACCATACTTTGATGACCTACTGTGCAACACGGGGCCCAATGATCATGCAGTCAGAAGATCGGGAGTTGGTTTGCTTTCCGGAACGCGATCGTCCAGTCCTGACTGAACAGGACTTAGAATCCAACTTTGAGTTGGTCCGGGATGTAGCATACACATGCTTCGAACTCCACCTCGAGCTGGGATCGATCCATGAAATTCCAATTTTGGCTGAGTTTGAGGCAGGTTGGTTTGTGAAGAATCTTTTTGGTGGGCCAGTGTTACCATACCAACCATGGCCCTGGTATGTCCCATGCAATGCTCCTGACTCAGGGCGCTTTACTGCTCTTGTCTCTTCGCAACAACTTCCATGTTGATCTTCACCATCGTCGTGGGGGAAAGGGCAAGATCCGAGAATCTCAGCTACAACATGTGTGTCAAGGGCTAGCACACTGCCACATGTATAGCATGGTGTGCTGTGGCCTGCTGTCATGCCAGTGGCCCGGTTGAGGAAATTGTTGACCTACCTGGTGATTCTCACCAACCGAACGCCTGAGTCAAGGACCTGGCCAACAACCAAACATCCATATGGCCTTCAGAACACCTTGAAAACTAGCAAGTGACAAAAACCTGTTGTGTTCTTTGATCTCGGAGCAGGAGTGAGAAAATCAAAGTCCTCAAGAGCATTGTGAAGTCTTACCGAGTCATCAAAGCTCATGACAAGGCTAGCTTTAGGGCTCTTGTGCATGGGCCATGTTTTGATCATGTCTGCTAGGCCAAAGCCAAAGCATCAACACAGGCACCTCCCCCAGAGCCAGAGCCATTGGAGGACGATGTAATACTACCCGAACGACTTGAACCCACAAGCCATACCACTCCATGATCATCCGGGCAACATGACCAGCCAGCTCCGCGGGCAGGATGAGAACCACTTGGATGTGGACCTGGACGATGAGCCAATAATCACTGCTGTTCACTTGGTTGAGGGCCCGCAAGCTGGTCCAATGGAAGTCAAGTCAGAACACACAGAAACTCAGCTGCTGTTTCCAAGAAACGTTGAGAAAAGGTTTAAAAGCAACCCACCTGTTCATCATATTGCCTACGGGAGTCTAAGGATGATGCCCCTTTGGAAGATGTTGGTTCTACCACTGCCACTGGTCATCGCGATGAATGTCAGGCCCCAGATGCTGCAACTCATCTTAAATCTAGATGTCTTTCGGGGATGTCAAATGTCGTGCAAAATGGCAAACTTTGGGCTGGGTGAGAGGGGGCAGGGGTTGAGTCTGAAGAGAGAAATTCTGCAAAGCTCCCGTTATACATATCTGACAAATCCCAGTGCCCCAGTGCATTTATATGTGATAGTGACATAGTGTGACCACCTTAAGGATATGTCATCAGTTTCTGGCCATGGATTTGTGCCATATTCACTACGTATACGGAAGTTCTTTGAAAAGCATCCAGGTGCCAATGAGGCTTGTGTCAGCAGTGCTAGCTCTATGGGACACACACACACAAGTCTTGTGAGCTTGTTTGGTTCTGTATACATATGTGCATGTGTGCATGCTCTGTTCAGGCGGCCAGCTCAGGGAATGCTGTTGCTGTTGACATCGAGGACTCCCAGGTGGCAAACTGTCTTCTTGTCTAGATCTTTCATGTGCTCTGCGCAGGCGGTCGATGCTGGGAATGCTGTTGACGTTGAGATTGACATCGAGGACTCCCAGGTGGCAAAACTGTCTTCTTGTCTAGATCTTTCATGTGCTCTGTGCAGGCGGTCGATGCTGGGAATGCTGTTGATTGTGAGATTGACATTGAGGACTCCCAGGTGGCAGAATTTACCCCAGTGTCTTGTCCAGAGTCTGTACATGCTCTGCCCAGGTGGTCGGCTCTGGGCATGCTATTGATTTGGACATTGAGGACTCACAGGTGGAAGAAGTGCGTGATGCTTCTGATCAGGTGGTCAAGCGATCATCTTGCACTGGCCTTTATGTTGAAAATGACATGACAGTCTCTGCAGGAACGGATGGTGTAGGATCCAAGTGTGAGGAGCCACCTGCTGCGAATTCGAAGGGTTCACCTGCCAAAAAGCGTAAGCAGGAGCAGTTGATCCCCAACCCGCCTGTTCTTGCTGCCCGGGTGGTAGAGTCAGCACAAAGCCATGTGCCGGAACACGGTGTGGAAGCAGACTTGTCAAGGCAAAGGGATTTAAAAAAACACTTGGATCAGGAAGCACGGGACAAAGTGGAACAAAAGAAGCTCCAGGCTGAGGCCAAAAAAAAGGAAGCAGCTGACTTGAAGATTGCAAAGGTAGAGGCAAAACTTGCAAAGCTTAAGTCTGAAGCAGCGGATCGTGAAAGCAGAAAGGTCAAGAAACCAGTGAAACCAGTCAAGCGTAAGCTAGACAAAGAACTTGAGGCAGAAGCTGGTCATGATGACCTGACCAAGTCAGAACCACTTGTTCCGAGCCACCCAGGACCGTCCACCCCTTCAAAGGTTCAGAAAGAAGGTCTGAAGTTGACACCAAAGGCCAAGAGGTTTGCGTCGAAGACCACCCCCAACAGCAAGGCTCGACAACGAGTTGATGCTAGGGCCACCAGGGCAGCTAGCAATTTGGAACGTTTGAGGGGCATCAAGTTGGATGGGATGACCATTCCGCCAGCACCTTTTTCAAAGAAGATACTTGCATGAACTATTTCAAGAACACCTGTATTTCTTGCTTTGGCACCAGCCAAGTGTGCAATCCAAATGCTTGTTTAAAACATGTCACTTGTTTCTTTTGAACCCAAGGAGCTTCACAGTGTATGACCCGAAGAAGCGTGGTGCCAATATTGGGGTAGTGCTGTACCAGTCCCACTACTATATTGGCAAGGCTTCAGAGGACCGGGTTCAGGAGAAGTTTGGAAGAGACCCATATCCCAATGGCAGTTTCTGTGTCCCCTGGGGGCCTGACCCAGAGACTGCGTGCAACTGACATGTTTCCCTGCAGTGCTGAGGCATCAACATGCAGCCATATATCACCACACAAAAAGGGCATCACACTCTGAACCCAGCCAGGTGGCTCCTGGCAAAGTACGTTGCTATGTGGGATGAGAGCTGAGCTGCCTGGGGTGCTTCATATAGGCTTTGTTGCTTGACCTATGGGCTTGGGCCAAACCACTGTTGCGACCACTGTATCCACACCTTGGAAAGAAACACCATAACATTAATAGGCCTGACATCCACTTCCCATCAATGCATGCTTCTTTAATTTGGTTGTGTTCAGGGTCAGGTTTTCAATTGAATACTGGACCTGTTTTGATTGACCAAGTGGTGTGCACGTGCACATGGTCGCATGCAGTTGCAGTTTCTGATGAGTACACAAGAATCTAATTATATGTTTTGGGCCTTTCGGATATTGCGTGCGCTTGTTGCTGTGAATCACCTATGGTGCCATATTGAAAGAAACCCGGCTCATATAGCAAGATTACGGTGGTGTGAGCAGCAGCAGCGTGTGGATTAGATCCTGGGCCTGGCTTTGCAACTACTAGTGTTGCTCAAGTTGCCCTAAGTTCATCCGAGTGTGAGGAAAAGATGCTAGCTGAGAGCCAGTGGCTGTTTGCATTTCCATCAGTCCATGTTGTGTTCAGAGAGTGGGCTGACTAGTGGCATGTACATTTATATGTACTATATTTAGTGTATTTCTATATATTATGCATTTGTCCTTCATGGTTGTCTAGACTAGACACTCTAGATCTTCAGTGGTCTCTACTCCCATTGTGTGCACGCAGGTCGACAAAATGCCTCATCATCGGCATCGAGCTCAAACTTGGTTGAATGGAGAGGCCAGGGTTTGGGACTCTGTGCACATCCCCATTTGCTTTCAAGGAAAAACATGCACAAATTTGGTCACCTAAATGAATGAGGAGGTGTCCAGAAAAAGAACCTAAACTGGTTCCTTCCAGTGTGTTGCGGACACCTATTTTAATCATTGATTTGCAATCGATGCCTTTTGATATGACATCTCCACTTGTCCCATTTTTTAATTAATTTCATAAATTTGACTAGTCATTCAGGTCTGAATTGCCCATACCACATTAATTCTAGGGATTCAAGAAAGGCTTGGATCCTCCAGGCCTACATAAATAGAGGTCTC